TTTTTTCAGAAAACAGATTACCAAAAAACGATCGTTTATAACTTGCCAACCTAATATTTGATGGAAAATTCGTTTGAATGAATTTTTGAGCGAAAAAAACTAACGATTTAGTCACTATTTTTATCTCATCAATGAATTTTTCCAAGTTTTAATTTAAAAAAAAACCTTTTTCAGCACCTCGGAAAGATCTCGAATTTCCTGACTGATTAGCGTAATTTTTGGGCCGTTTTCCGTTTCTTTTTCGGAATTTTCTGCTTTATTCCAACATTTTTCCCCGCCAAAAACATCAAAAATCCTTTGGGATTCGGGAAATTCTATTTTTAATTTTAAAAATTTCAATAAAGGTCATTAGAAATGATTTCTAAGCGTTTTTTCTTCAGCCTTGATTACCCATTTCCGAGAAAAGTGTTCCAATTGGAAATTTGTGATTTTTTTTTGTCCTTTTTATCTTTTCAATGGTGCATTTTCATTCTTATTTATTCGAATTTGTTTTAAAGTTTAAAATTTATAGTTTACTACACAAAATTTCTGTATTTCTGCGACATGTCCGGTCAGGGATTTTTATTCTGCTGCTGTAAGTTTCTTTGAAAGAAAGCACGAAAAGGAACGCACGAAAAGCACGAAAAGACTTAATACTAATGCTGTAAAGGTACAGCTTAATGCTGTAAAGTTTTATGAACAGTATTCAGGCTTTAATTTTGGAAAAATAACTTAACTTAACAAATGAACAATAACTTGCGTTGGAAAATAACAAATTTACCAATTAACCTATCATTTGCTCGAAATAAAAAGTGTTTATTGTTCAATTTTCACCTTTTTAAGTCAATCTTTGGGTTTAATTTCAAGCAAATTCGAGAGTAGAGTGTGCTCCTTGTTGACAGACAATTTGTCAGACAAATTTTCATTGACAACTTTTTTGTCAGACAATTGATCCGACAAGACTTCCGACAACGCGCTTTCTAAAAGGCAAAGCAAAGCTTTTAAGCAAAGCTATAAAGGTCGCGCGAAAAAAATTTGCAAACTTTTCTTAAAATATAGTAATGGATAGTTTTATTTAAGGATTTAGGTTTTTTAGGGCGTGGAATGGAATTTTTTTTTTGGAATGGTTCTATTGCAAATGTAGACAATAGGCCTGGTAAATTCGTAAATAATATAATTTTTTAATAGTGTTTCTTAACTTTTCCCGTTTTAAATGTTTTCTTTAATTTTAAATAGCATTTAAAAATTTTTAAGTTTTAGCGAAAGAGTAATAGAGTTAAGGAAAGAGTAATAGAGCTAAGGAAAGAGTAATAGAGTTAAGGAAAGAGTAATAGAGTTAAGGAAAGAGTAATAGAGTTAAGGAAAGAGTAATAGAGTTAAGGAAAGAGTAATAGAGCTAAGGAAAGAGTAATAGAGCTAAGGAAAGAGTAATAGAGCTAAGGAAAGAGTAATAGAGTTAAGGAAAGAGTAATAGAGTTAAGGAAAGAGTAATAGAAAAAAAGAGCGTAAGATTTTAATGTACATTTGCATTTTGAAAAGTTTGCTGATGCAAAGCATAGGGTTACGGTAGCTTATCCTTGGCGCGCGCTTTTTAGAAAACGCGTTGTCTGCAAGGAACACACTCTATTCGAGAGTGAACGTGTTTTCGAGAGTGAACGAGACGCGTTTTTCGTAAAAATCTACAAAACCTCTACGAAGAAATTGGCATTTCAATTTCGATAAACACAGACGATCCTTGGTCACGAATTTCTCTAGTTTTTAAACGAAAGCACGAAAAGGAACAAAAAGACTTAATGCTAATGCTGTAAAGGCACAGCTTAATGCTGTAAAGTTTTATGAACAGTATTCAGGCTTTAATTTTTGGAACAAAGTAAGGTAAAACAAAGCCGACTTTTATCGACTTTTAAAAACGATGCTAGATTACTGTAAATTCTACTATATATAAAAGAGTAGTGTCTGTCTGCCTGTCTGCCCGTCTGCCTGCCTGTCTGCCTGCCTGCCTGCCTGTCTGTCTGCCTGCCTGTCTGTCTGCCTGTCTGTCTGTCTGTCTGCCTGTCTGCCTGTCTGTCTGTCTGCCTGTCTGCCTGTCTGTCTCTCTGTCTGTCTGTCTGTCTGTCTGTCTGTCTGTCTGTCTGTCTGTCTGTCTGTACGGGCATTTACTCGGCCGTGTTTTGACCAATCGTGTCAGTGAACGTAAAAGCTGGATAATGATAGTGTTAGTGACGAAAAATGAAAGATAATGTAACTGCTGGATTATCCTATTTTTTTGCCGCATTTTCCAAAACTCCAGGATTACAGGATTGGGCTAAATTACCCGGAAAACTTTTTAGAAAATTAGTTGTCGCATGCTTAATTTATTAAGTTAAACGAAAAGTTCGTGCGGTTTTATAAGTAACAGAAAATGCGTTATGGATCGACTATAGTATCAGGGAGGGGGAGGGCAAATCTGTTTCTCTGTAAATCGGTAACTTATCAGTAACTAAATTCACAACAGTCTGGGTGAATTTAGCCTAGCCTGATGTCAGTTCGGCAGAGGTTTTTGACGTTAAAGACCTCTGCCCAAGTGACATAAGGCTAGGCTAAATTTACAACAGTCTGGGTGAGCCTGATGTCAGGCTTAGCCTAGCCTAATGTCACTTGGGCAGAGGTTTTTAACGTCAGTAGCCTGTAAATCATCGATCCGGGTGATAAATTCCAAAATCTTGTCAACGAGCGTCTTGGTACTCCGATTAGCCACTTCAGCAAGGAAACATTTGTTTGGGTGGCGGAGTACCGAAAAGTACCTTCACTTTTGATCTGAAGAATCTCTGAAAAAGTTGCTATTGATGTGGTGGAATCTCTTTTTTTCGTTGTACATTTATTGACAATTGAAAATGGTTATTTTTTGGCGAAAATGGCTCTACCGTTCAGTACTTTTGATATTGTGAAGTTTCATTGAACGTTAAAACGTTTATTCTGGCAAGAAATGACGCGAACGATCTATTAAACCTATTTCTTTACAAAATTCCCATCTTATGCACATCACTTGTTCTCCTAATTTTCTAAATCGGGATCTCTATGAATGGAAAAGTATTTTTTTGACTAAAAACCCCAATTTAGAAACGAGAGCTTTGTATAAACAAATTTCCGGTAATTTCGGCTATAAGTCTGTTTCGAAAGGCAAAACTTTTCACAATAACTATCGTAGATATTTTAATAAAACACCACCCTTATAATGACAGGCGTAGAGTCGCCTAGTCGAACTTTGAACGACCCGTTCTCCGCGATTGTATGAGAAGGTGGCGTTCTATTAGAGTATTAGCCAGTTTTGTTCTATTAGAGTTCTATTAGAGTTCTATTAGAGTTCTATTAGAGTTCTATTAGATTAATTTGAGTGCAGTTTGAAGGATGGGGTCTTATATCTTGCAAAATATTTCGTTTTAGACCTAAAGCTCGCTGGTTGAGTGACTAATTTTCATTTTTTAAATCCGTTAGCTGATAGACGATAGAAGCTGACAAACGTAGCTGATCTGAAACGTTAGTTAACCGGCTTAGCGGCCTTGTGGTTTGTCTTTAAGCTAGCCTAGAATCTCCCACGAATGTACAAGATGTCTTTAAGCTGGCTTGGACTGAGCCTGGTCCAAGTCTGATCTGTCCTAGATAAACTGGATGCATTTCCTGAATCGCTCGTTTGAGCTGGCTCGTTTGAGCTGGCTCGTTTGAGCTGGCTCGTTTGAGCTGGCTCGTTTGAGCTGGCTCGTTTGAGCTGGCTCGTTTGAGCTGGCTCGTTTGAGCTGGCTCGTTTGAGCTGGCTCGTTTGAGCTGGCTCGTTTGAGCTGGCTCGTTTGAGCTGGCTCGTTTGAGCTGGCTCGTTTGAGCTGGCTCGTTTGAGCTGGCTCGTTTGAGCTGGCTCGTTTGAGCTGGCTCGTTTGAACCTCTGAATTCCCTTCCAAAGATTCTCCCCAATCAGTACTTTACTTTGTCAAAGCTTTATTTTTGGTGATTTGAAATGGCTGAGAAGGTGATCTGGAAAATGGCCGATAAGCGGATCCGAAAAACTCTCACTTTGCATCATAAAACTATGCAAAAGATTGGGCTAATTTTTAGCCGCACAAACAAGTCCTTGAATTGTTGATTGACTCAAAGCAAGTTCAAATGTTTGAATTTACAATTTTGCAACCGTTCAAGTCAATCTTTTGCCCTTTTGCCTAGCTCTGTAATTAGCAAATCGATTAATCTTCTCAAGTTCTCTAGTTTCAACAACTATTATATTTACAAAATCCATTCAAATTTATAAAAGCAATTAATGAATGAAACGGCTTTGAGGGGATTGTTTACATCAAAGGATTCCCACATTTTCGCGATTCGGGGGCGGCGGGAGGCTCAAATGATGGGCGGATTTGAGGAGAAAATCCCGAAACTAAAAAAAAGTCGCCAAAAAACTTTAGCGGAAATATCATTGGGATTATCTAGATAATCTGGCCATCCGTTTTCTCTCTTTTTTTGAAAGAATCACAATGAATACAAGAGGACAATGTGCCCGTCACAGAGACGCTCCACATTTTGTCCCGAAAATTTCATTTTTCCTTTCATTTTTCATTTTTTCCACTAAAACTATACAGTTTTTGATGAGAAATTTATTTTTAACAATCTTTTGATAAGTAATTACAGATTATTCATCAATTTTTCTCTTTTTGACACAAGTTTCTGTTTCTTTACACCAGTATTTAAGCAAAATTGAATATCTTTCAAATCCCTAAAAAAAAATAAAAAATTCACCTTAATTACCTGAATAATTTCTGTTTCAAAATACTGTAGTTAAACAAGAGCTTTTGGTTTCACGAATTCTTTAAGAAAGATACTATTTACCTGCTTCAGGCTTGTTTCAGGATTGTTACCAAGCTTTCAGACTTGTTTCAAGCTTTCAGACTTGTTATCAAGCTTTTAAAAATACGAAATCCTTTCAGTTAACTTAATAAAGTTGTCCAAGTAGCTTTAGAACTTTAAAATTTCAATTCTCATTGTTGATTAATCAATTCCAGGTTGCCAAAGTGGCTCAAAGAGAACCGAAGAGGAAAGAGCCCGTCGATTGGAGCTGATTCGAGAGAGGAGATTAGAGAAAATGTACGCGCGAACGAGGTGAGCTACATTTTCATCTTAATTCAACAATGATTTCTGCTAAGCTTTTACTTATCCTAAAGTTTAGACAACCAAACGCTGCTTTGCGAAAAATCTCGGAGATCAACGAGGACAACGAGGCGATCGAGCAACAAATCGTGTTCAACGCTCGCGAGAATGGGTTCACTGTTTTGAGGAAATTGTCTGAGGTTGGCAGTGGACGCAAAATATTGTAACTTGGGTGTTGTTGAAGTTAATGAACTGCTGAAAAACGAGGTTAGCTGGGTTCAACAACCGTTGGACCACCAGGGTGGCCCACGATTATAGCGCCGCACTTCAGAAGGCCTAGATTGGCCAAAATAGAGTCAATCGTTCTGATTTTTCTGGAGGTAAATCTTAAGTATGTCTCCTGGAACTGTGCCCATTATCTAATCGATTCAAGCTTTCAACTTTTTTATATAACTTTCCAAAGTTGAGAGCCGAATGTCGCTGCCGCCATAAATCGTTTAAGTGAAACAGACCAAATTAAGTGAGTTTTTGTGCCATTTCTTAAGAATTTTTGCACTAAAACTGCGCAAAGTATGTGAAATTTTGTTCATTAACATAATAAATCAAATTTTAACTAGGCTTTGACAATATCGCTCTCAAAAATCCCATAAATGAGTAGCAAGCCAAGCGACACTCGACTCTTAAGTTTAGAAGATTATATAAAAGAGTTGAAAGCTTGAATCGATTAGATAATGGGCACAGTTTCAGAAGACATACTTAAGATTTACCTCCAGAAAAATCAGAACGATTGAATCTATTTTGGCCAATCTAGGCCTTCTGAAGTGCGGCGCTATCCCGTAGAGAAGCTTGAGGCTAACCCTGTAGAGAAGCTTGAGTTAGTATTAAGGGATCCGTATTTTGGTTGGAGCTATTTTGGCGATAGACAGGCTACGATGAGTACTCAAGCAAGACCAGCACTCAAGCAAGAACAGCACTCCTTACTGGCTTGAGTTTCAGTAAGCTAAATGAAGCTAAAGTTAAAGATGGGTTTAGTATGATACTAAATTCTTCAAATCCAGATTCCTAAATTCAAATTCTTCAAATCCAGCATTTGATTAATGTGTAGTCAAGCGTACTTTAAAAACTATTGATAAAACGCTGTTTCCAGGAAGAACAAGACGACAGTGGCCACGAGTCGGAGGGTCGATCGGAGAGCGAAATCGAGAATGACTCTCAATTGGACGGGAAAACTCAACACGAAGACAAGGAGAAACACCACGGAAAGGTTTGGCGGACAGTTTATATAAACAAAAAATAGTCTTTAAACTTTAAACTTTAATCTTTAAACAAAAAAAAAAGAGTTTGGGGTGAGACCCGCTTTAACCTTATCAATTCAACCTTATCAATCAAATCAATCAATCAAAACGAGGATGATTCTGCTTAAGAATGGCCGAATAGCACAAAAAGTTAAAAGGGTTTCCCCAAAAGCGCTTACAACGTAACAAGAACACATAGTATCCAACAATAGATTAATACTCTTGAGAAGAGTACAGATCGGTTGATCGATACAGATCCGATTGATACTACGTCGATGGTGACACAAATGTTAGTAAAACCAGTCTCTCTACAATGTTAAACCAGTTATCTAAACAGGATTTAAAACCTGAAGGGTAGCATAAAGCAAAGTTAATTTATAACGTTACTATTTATTAGTACAGAACCGAAATGCAACAATACCCATTACAAAAACAGCATGCGCATCAAAAATGAAACAACAAAGTCCCCTCAGAAAGAAGGCAAAAACCCGCAGACCAAAAAAAATGGGAAGGGAGAAAAAGGACGAAAAATTGCAAAATAGCAACGCAAATAGGAAGGAAACGGACGCGACCCTTTAGTTCTTGTTTAGCTTTGTTTCGACTTTCACAAAATTCTCCAGAGATTAGAAATCTATTTACTTTTCCACGCTGACTTGGGCAAGTACACAAAAAACTTGTTAAATCTGAAAGCTTGTTAAATCCTTTTCACAAAGCAATCTAAAAACAACAAAACGAGCAAGAAGAGACTTGTGTCAGTGCATCGAATTGCATCGATTCTTTCCACAGCAATAATACCCAATTTTCGTCATGACATTGGTGTATGGGTTGTATGCCAAAATAACAACGCAAATAGGAAGGAAACGGACGCGACCAAAGCCCTATTAAAAAGTTTATATATAACAAATAACATATAGAAACTTTTAAAGCCCTCAACTTTCAGATGTTCAATGTGCTCCGATGGGTGGCGAAATGCAGCAAAAAACAAAAGACCCCACAACCATCTAAACAATAATAGACATCAAAATATTCAACTTATCGTGTACATTTCAAGATTTTTCTGGAATTTCCCTTTTTTTTGTGTGACATTCAATGTGAAACTCACTTTTCTACTTGAATCGAGTAGCTTTTCAATCAATCAATCAATCAATCTTCCATTTCTGAATGAAATTTCGAGTTTATGTGATTGTCGATGTGAAATTTTGTGTTTTTTTTTGTGAATAAATGGGTTGTAAACCAGTTTAAAGAGTGAAAATGGACTTACTAATGTTTCAACGGCAAAAAAACCAAATAAAACTCCAATCTAGTCAGCTCTTTTCTTAACATCAACGCCCTTTTTTCCTTATTTTTCAAAAATAAATCTTTGTGAGATAAATCTTAAAAATAAATCAAAACACTCGAAAGGCGTTCAATTTTGATGTAAAAAGATTAGTTAGTCGAGTGAAGTGAGAAAAGTCTAGGTATGTGTGTAAATCTTTTGGTTTTTTTTGTTAAGAAAGGTCAAGAAAGCTCAAAAGACACTTGCTAAATGTTGGTTGTTGATTTCCGAGAATTGCCTGGGGAAAAGTTGCCGTTTCCAGACAAATGATTGGCGGATACAAGGAGCCGGTGATTTTTTTTTGTCGAAAAAGAGAAGAACTCAAGAAAAAAAACGCTTGCTGACACAAAAAAAAGCCGCCATTGATAGTCATTAGAGTGTAATCTTACGTCTTTTTGCCTCAAGAAAGAACTTGGAGTTTGGTTTTTTCAAATGTCAATGTGAGTAATCCTTCCGAAACCAATCATCAGCTCATTTCCTGGAAATTTTTGGGAAACCTTTTAAAAGCAAAAAAACCCGTTTAAATCAAAGTTTAAGAAGTTTGTAGAAAAGTTTTGTATGAGGATTTAAAATCAAAAAAAAAACTTGAGAAACCTAGTAGAATTTTAATGGAAACCCAATGCCCAATTGAAAACTACATTCATAAAAATTAACATTAACAAATTGTTCCTCTAGATTGCTTTCAACAATCTGAATTATGTCTTCTTGAAAATAGCTCGATGGGCAGGTGCAGAAGACGTTTTTGGGAGGCCGTCGGTGGCCAAAAGCCGATGGCCAAAAGCCGATGGCCAAGAGCCGATGGCCAAGAGCCGGTGGCTAAAAGCCGATGGCCAAGAGCCGATGGCCAAGAGCCGGTGACCAAGAGCCGGTGGCTAAAAGCCGATGGCCAAGAGCCGATGACCAAGAGCCAGTGGCCAAGAGCCGGTGAGCAAGAGCCGGTGAGCAAGAGCCGGTGAGCAAGAGCCGGTGCCTAAAAGCCGATGGCCAAGAGCTGATGGCCAAGAGCGGTGGCCAAAAGCCGGTGGCCAAGAGCCGCTGGCTAAAAGCCGATGGCCCAGAGCCGGTGCCCAAAAGCCGGTGCCCAAAAGCCGGTGGCCAAAAGATACAAAGCATTGAGTTTAGCCCAAGCTTTCTCGAATGATTCTTTCAGTGAATCAATGCTTGAATGTGCTTTTGAAATGTGAGTAATCCTTCCGAAACCAATCATCAGCTCATTTCCTGGAAATTTTTGAGAAACCTTTTAAAACCAAAAAACCCGTTTAAATCAAAGTTTAAGAAGTTTGTAGAAAAGTTTTGTATGAGGATTTAAAATCAAAAAAAAAACTTGAGAAACCTAGTAGAATTTTAATGGAAACCCAATGCCCAATTGAAAACTACATTCACAAGAGTTTGAGATCAAAAGAAATTATAAAATTCGTCATTTTTGGACTGGAGATTTAGCTAATCGAATCTCATATAGTACCCTGTTTATCTAATCTAATATAATATAATACAAAGTGCCACAAAATTAGCCAAGAGCGATGGCCAAGAGCCGGTGCCCAAAAGATACACAGCATTGAGTTCAGCCCAAGCTTTCTCGAGTGATTCTTTCAGTGAATCAATGCTTGAATGTGCTTTTAAACAAGCCTTTGCTTCAAGAACACTCCAGACTGAGTAATCCATCGGATTTAAATCAGATCTTGATGGTGGCCACTGCTTAAAGTTGATGAAATCATTGCCTTCTCCTGATCTAATCACCATTAGGTAAAGTGTTTGAATAGCCTCAAAATTTCCTACCAACAAACTAACAAGTTTCAATGCCTCATAAAGATCTTATCGCTACAAATGATTGGGGAAATCCCCATTGAGCAAAATAGCAATCAGGACTCAGAAAAGAAAAACTCGACTCAAGAAAAAAGTAGCTTCCCTTACAACAAGCTAGGTCCTTGGACTAAAAGGGGCCAAAGGGTGATTAGAGTGGCGAACATTTATCAACAACGCTCTCCCACTCTGCGAACATCTTTTTGGGCCTAATGAAAGACAACAGCTTTGCTTGAGAGAAGATAAACGAACTCTTAGATTTGTTGGGAAAGCCTGGATTTTTCCAAGTTCCTTGAATTTGTTTTATCATCAATTCTATCAAGTCAGCAAAAGTTGAGATACGATTTCGGTGAGTTTTGTTTATTTTTTTCAATTCTGTTGAACAGAATTGAAACAAAGCTAGTTTTAACAAAACAAAACTAGCTAGTTCATACAACAAAGCTAGTTTTCAACATTGAATTATTGAACAACATTGAACTAAAGTTTTCTAGAGTAGAGAATGGTTTCTAGAGAATGGTTTATCTAACTCTAATCGTTTATCTAATGGACCAAGATATCAGTTATTTGCTAACTTAACCTAGCCTTGTCCCTTGGAGTCCAACCTTGTCCTTGTCCCCACTGTGCTCTTAGGCCTTTTACCAAGTCTTGCAACTAGTCTTGCAACTTAAAACTTTCTTTTCTGAATAATTAATCGATCAACTTACGGTTTACTCAAATCACAAATGTTCATTTTCTATTCTCACTCATTTTTTTAGCAGTTTTGGACCGATTTAGAAGAAATTTCAAGCAAAAATCCTAATTTTTCTTTTTGTTCTGTAATCAGATGTAATCAAGATTCTGTAATCAGATGTAAAACAAAAACGGTTGAACGAATCAAGCTGAAATTTTCGTTATTTGTCTAACTTTTTACGCTCTATCTTTTTTCTATTGAGATCAGAATAGGTTTCTTTGAACGAAAGTGCTTAAATCAGTCGAGTCGCCATTAGGGAGTCAAATTGCATCATTGATTTCTCTCCATTTTTCGCCACTAAATGAGAATAGAAAATGTTTTTGTTTGATTTTCTTTCTTTTTAAACCAATCTAGGCCCGTTTCCAAACGAATTTGAGCAAAAAAAGCTCGTTTTTGGTCAAATTCGATAAAAAGTTCTACAAAAAACCGATTGCTTGAAGGTTGAGATTGCTGAACAGAACAGATTGAACAAATGCTTACAACAGATTTCTCTGAAAATTTGACTTTATACATAACTTTTTGTGCTCCATCTTTTTTCTATTGAGATCAGAATAGGTTTCTTTGAACGAAAGTGCTTAAATCAGTCGAGTCGCCATCAGGGAGTCGCCATTTTTGACTATTCAACTTCGCGGCGCTGAAAATATCCGAAACTGAAACTTTTTCAAAAGATTTTAACGTTCTTTTGCAGAAATATAGTTGATCTTTCTATTAAAGGCTAAATCATAAATGATTTCTGTGGTAGAAAGTGCTTAAATCAGTCGAGTCTCCATTAGGGAGTCAAATTGGAACATTGATTTCTCTCCACTTTTCGCCACTAGACTACTCGTTTATTAAAAAGCTGAAAATTGCAAGTTTTTCCTAATTTCTATAAAAGAATTTGTGGAGAAACAATAAAGGTTTTTAATAGAAAAAAAAAACCATAAGTTGATCGGTTAATTATTCATCGAGAAAAGAATCATCAAGAAATCATTTGGTAGAGAAACAATAGAGCTTTAACACCTGAATGCAAGACTTTGTACTCGACCTAATATTTTTTCGGACATTTCTGAAGAATTTTTGCATTCAAACTGAGTAAAGTATGTGAAATTTTGTTCATTAACATAATAAATCACATTTTAACTAGGTTTTGACAAGAGCGCTCTCAAAAATCCCATAAATTGGCAGTGGACGCAAAATATTGTAACTTGGGTGTTGCTGAGACTTGTTGAAGTTAATGAACTGCTGAAAAACGAGGTTAACTGGGTTCAACAACCGTTGGACCACCAGGGTGGCCCACGATTATAGCGCCGCACTTCAGAAGGCCTAGATTGGCCAAAATAGAGTCAATCGTTCTGATTTTTCTGGAGGTAAATCTTAAGTATGTCTCCTGGAACTGTGTCCATTATCTAATCGATCCAAGCTTTCAACTTTTTTATATAACCTTCTAAACTTAAGAGTCGAGTGTCACTGCCGCCATAAATCGTTTAAGTGAAACAGACCAAATTAAGTGAATTTTTGTGCCATTTCTTAAGAATTTTTGCACTAAAACTGCGTAAAGTAAGCGAAATTTTGTTCATTAACATAATAAATAAAATTTTAACTAGGTTTTGACAAGATCGCTCTCAAAAATCCCATAAATGAGTAGCAAGCCAAGCGACACTCGACTCTTAAGTTTAGAAGATTATATAAAAAAGTTGAAAGCTTGAATGGATTAGATAATGGGCACAGTTCCAGAAGACATACTTAAGATTTACCTCCAGAAAAATCAGAACGATTGAATCTATTTTGGCCAATCTAGGCCTTCTGAAGTGCGGCGCTATAATCGTAGGCTACCCTGTAGAGTTCAAGCGCGTAGAATGTGTTGCTTGACTTCTTTTGCATACATTTATAAGGGTTGATAGATGCTGATAGATACCAGCATCAAATAGATAAATGACCAAAAATAATCGTATTTATGACTCTTGATCAACTCTTGGTCAACTTTAGTAACCCAAGCTGTTCATATCTTTTTAAGGTTGATCAACGGATTGATCCATGCCGTTTGAATACGAATCTTAAACACAATTTTTGTATAAAACTTTCTTTTAAGTCATTTCACTGACCTTCAACAACTTATCAAGCTTAATTGAAGCAATAAACACCAATCATTCCCCATGTTTGTACTAGTGGCTCTTTTTACGAATCC